GTCAAGAAACGCAAAAGCTCAGCCGAGCGATAGATGCGCAAAACGAGATCATATCCAGCAACAGCAGATGATCCAGGAAATGGATCAACAAGGGAAAGAGATGAGAGATGAGCTTCGTCACATCCGAGCGCAGTTAGAGACCCTGGCTACGCCCGCATCTTCTCTGCAGAGCAGTCCGCAGATGTCGTATGCGAGCGCTGCAGGGTCATCGCCGACGATCCAGACAATGAACCGGGGCACCGTACCAGCAGCTAAATCGGCACGAACAGCCGTCAGCGATAGTCTCTACTGTACGGTGGACACATCACGAGTCGAAGAAGCGAACAGGTGCCAGACGCAGATCGGCAACATCCGAAAGGCCATAGAGAGCGACATGAGAAAGAGTCAGAGGCAGGAGACTTGGAAATGCGCAGCGGTCGTGACAGACGCTCGAAACCCTGACCGGATCAAAATTTTATGCAGAGACCAAACCGAGTTGAAGCAGGTCAAGGAAGCAGCGCAGAAGACGGTAACTTCGGGAGCCAGGGTACTGAGAGATCAGCTCTACCCTGTCAAAGTCGACAACACCAAGCGTACCGCAGTGCTGGACGCCGAAGGCAACGTTCTGCCGGGCGCAGCTGAGGCGCTCGGAGCCGAGAATTACGTCACGATTGCCAAGATCACCTGGCTTAGCAACAGAGAAAGCCAAAGCGTACGGGTCAATGGTGATCTATGTCACTAAAGAGAGTGACGCGCAAAGACTTCTGGACGGCGTGTGGTTCGATGTTGCGGGAGAGTCCGCCTGCACCAATGTTTTTGAACGCCGCGTAGGACCGATTCAGTGCTTCAACTGTCAAGAGATGGGACACAAGGCGTTTTCATGCAAGAAGCCGCAAAGATGTGGCAGATGCGCGAAAGCAGAACATCACCACAGAGAATGCAAGGAGACAGTGCCAAAGTGCGTGCCCTGCGGTGGACCACACGAATCGTACAGCCGGAACTGTCGGGCGCGGAACCCTGGGGATGAGACGCAGGCAGCGTCTGGCCCTTCGGGCTAAGCAGCGGAAGTGAGAATCCACTTAGGATCGATTATGGCACTAACCTTCAACAATACTAACACACAGGTATTCGACTTCGATTTCGACAGACCGCGCTTCAGCTGCTGAAGGTAGGACGCTGAACACTTGGAGAAATTGGCCTTCAAGCAGGCCTGTCACGGAGCGAGTAGCGGCGAGGTTGGTGTAGCGTATGCTGACCCGTGGGGCTTAAGGTGTTGCGCATTAATGTATTGAAATGTCAGTAGCTTTTACGTCTAGGCCCTATAGGAGAAATCCTCCGGGTGAAATACACATACATACATACATACATACGAGTATGGATAGAAAGACTGGCGGCGTCCCAAGCGAGAGCTGATCCTCAGGGTGAAGATGGGCAAATATTGCAGCTCTGTGAATGGCATGCCGCAGAGAACTTCAAGAAGCGATTGTTAGACTCGGGCAAATATACGAAGGAACGAAGGGAAGAGCCCCTTCGGTTCGTTTGGGATTACATACAAGCTCCCGACGAGGCGCGACTTGAAGAACGGCGAGGCGAGCTGCTCGCAGAAATTCGGGAGCCGGAACGCCTTTATCTCAAGAATAATTGGCAACCGAAAGAGCGCCAATTTGTCCGAGCACACACGACAGTACCCGAACCTCGGATGTAACAGCACACAGAGAAACGAAAGCTACCATGTCGTGGTCAAACAGTCTCTCAACAGGCAGCTTCCCCTGCAGGCATCTTGTCAAAAACTGGCCGAAAGCTTGAGGAAATTGACTCAAAAAATCACCGAAGACGAGGATCGGAGCAGGGCGGACGTCCCAAGGCTGTTGGACCGAGCTGCTTTTCGCCTTCTTATCGGGAAGGTTCCACACTATGTCCTGAGCAAACTAGCTCCGGAGTGGGAGGCAGCAAAGGCCCTAAGGTGGGGGCAAAACACCGAGATCGAGAAGGAGCGCGAGGTATTGGGCGCTCTGAACGAGCCCAGATGTCCTTCCGCGTGTGAGTTTCCACTCAGATATGGCCTGCCCTGTCGACACTGGCTGTACGAGGCTGTTGTTAGGTCCTGCGCTATCCCACTCAATCTTCTTCATCCACGCTGGTTGCTCGACGGTCCTGACGTGGTACGCGGCTGGACCATGTCTTATGAAAAGCAGGCAGCTCCTGAAGAAGCAGAAAACCCAGGGGACCGTTACCAAGATGGCGGTAGGAACATGGTTCTTCAATCGGGATTGGAGGTCGTTCAAGTACAGGGGAGCCTCGGCGGGCAGCAGGCAGAGGAGTTCTCGAGACTCTTCCGCTTACAGAATGACCGTCTAATAGCAGGTTTCCGGGCGCAGGTACAGTCAAGAGCTCTCCTACCCCCGGAATTGCCTGAAGCACTGCATCAGCCTGGCTTGAAGAGGTTCAAATCCCACGGTGGCACGAAAAGACGATCCATGACCGGCTGTGAGGCCGCAGAGCATGCTGCCGCTCGAGCGGACCGCGCCACTTCGGATTTGCCGAAGGAGTTGGCCAGCTTCCTGACCATTCGACGACTCCGTCCTCTCCTTTGGCAACTTCGCCACAACCTCTTCAGGAAACGGGACGTCGAAAACGGAGTACGAAGGCTATAGAGTAGGCGGCAGCTGCTACTGGGAAGTCTTCAGATAGAGTGGGAAGGGGTGAGAAACCGGATATGCCTAAGCCGCAGTGCAAGAAGCGGAAGGCTTCCAAGGAGGACGAAACGCAGTTGGAACTGCAGCAGCGGCCTACCCAGGATTGTATACTAGTGGATTTCCCTTCAGACTGAAAAATGGCACTTCTTTCCCGTTCGGGCTGTAGCCAAGGCGCGATGGCTTTGGATCCTTGCTTAGCGCAACAATCCCTGCAATCTGACTGTCCGAACCTGACTGTCCGGAGCCATCCCGCATCTTCTTCGTCGTACGCACGCACGATGACTCGTTCCTCCTCAAGCTCGGCCTGGAGCTCGGCCTCGTCTTTTTCGTTCAATTGCACCCGCCGTCTTCTCAATGGTGGCTGTTTCTCGAGAGGAAACTGGGATAGTGGTGCCCTAATACGCTGGGGTTGGCGCTGTGTTGTCACGATCTGAAGTCATCGTCGCTGCTATTATGAGGCGAGAGATCCGGCTCTGAAGAAAGCATCATAGAGATGTAGTTATAATCGATGTCAGAGTCTTTGTCGGCGTCAGCTTCGGCAACCTCTTGTGCCCGCGCCTCTTCCCGGGCTTGTGAGTCGTGAACAGGCCACAGCGTCTGGAAGAGCCATGCGGTCGCGTTTTGGGTATGTTGTCCATAGGAAAGACCGATTTTTATCCGTAGCTATATTCCAACGCTCTTGAAGAGCCTCGCGAGTGATGGCTTCTTTCGGGGTTACCAGCTGTTGAACGTGTACCCTGTACGTGGCCTCTTCTGCTGCTCTTGCCGCCACGGCAGCTCCACCGCGTAGACGACGCTGTGACGACAAGGCTGCTGCACGCAGTTCCGTGGGACGAAGTTGTCGAAATTGAGTCTCGCTTTCCTTAAGAGCTCGCTTGGCTATAGCCTCGTGATCTTCCTCTTGCCGGGCGGCTACCTTCTCTCGTAGTTGCTGCATCGTAAAGGCGCCATCGTCGACGCCTCGGATACGGCGTAAGGTCTTCGTCCTGCGCCTCTCTCGCCGGATACGCTCTTGCTGGTGTTGTATAAACTGCGTATGAGCCGTTTGGGTTAGAATAGCAAGGTCAAGGCAGGGTAACGCGTTTTTAACGATCTCTCGTATTAGGCTGCTTAAAACATCGAGCCTTTTCCGACTGGCTTCGAGATCATGCTTTACCTTACGTGGCGAGACCAAATTCCTCGCCAAGAGGTGCGGGAAAACAGGCTCCTCTTGGTCTTTAGAGGCGGCTCGTAGAGGAGCAAGCACAACTTCAGGATCAGGGGGCCATAGCCCAGACTGTTCAAAGCCCACAAAGATATAGCAAGCCTTAGGGGCTCTCAGCCGCCGTATACCTGAACAGATTAAAATGCTACCACCACGGGCGGCAAGACCAGCTGTGCATAGAGACAGTGGCACAGGCCATAATGAGGTCTTTCGAACGGCGCCAAGTTAGGTAGGATTTATTTCGCCCGGAGGGAGGTCCCTATAAGGCCTTTACACAGTCTAGAGTACAGTTCAGCACGTTTGTTCCTTGACTCCCCAAGCCCCACAGATCATCTTACGCTGCGCCAACCGTACCACTGTTTTGCTCCATGACAGACCTGCTTGAAGGTCAATTTCTCCAAGTGTTCAGCATCCTATTCCCAGCAACTGAAGCGCGATGTGTCGAAGTTGAAGCGTGGTTGTGTTAGTCATTGATGGTGGTTGGTACGCCGATTGTGTTCTCTCATGACGCTGTTCCCTGTTGACGGGCGGGAACCCGGGTGTGCCCTGTTTCACCAGGGGTGCCTCCAGCCGGCTTCGAACCGACCCCTCTGCGACGCAGAGGCTCCAGACGTGTCACCACTACGCCATGGAGGCACGGCGCCAATGGCGGTAGCTGATGCAAGCATTTTGCCAGTGGATGCCTGGCGTGTTTGCCTGAGGCACCTCACCACTGGACCGGATGAATTTCGGCCCGGCATCCAGCTACGCCACGCGCTCTTCCGAATCCCATCTCCGTTCGGGTTCTTCGACACCTTCTTACTTCGGGCCCCCGAATCCTCATTATTGCAGCATCCCCGTGATACCTTACCTTACTAGTGATGTCCGCTGAGCCTGTCGGTCATACTTTTTTGCAGAATCGTCACGCTTTCTACGAGTTGCCGGATTGAATGGCTACTCTATCGGAACACGATCGCAACATAATCGCGCGCCACCCCTTGGACAGCTCTCTGGACCATCTAAAGAAATCACTTCAGGATGCAGAGGAGTCATATGCTTCAATCTCCGGTTCGCACGACGACGCTGTCGAAACTTCTGCAGATAGCTGTCAAAAGGCAATATCCCGTCTCCTATCTGCTTTGATGGGAGCTGAAGCTGCCCTCATTATTCGATCGGCAATCAGCAGTCGCGACGTAGCCTCCGAGCTGGCGCTTGTCTTTGGACGCGTCCGAAAAGGAGACTTCAACTACAGTAACTACCGCCCGCTTGTGAGACTTATCATTCAAAAGGCGTCCGGCTCCGAGATCTGGACCGCCGTACTCGACCTCATCGCCACACTTACCCGAGTGACGCCTCCTGGAAGTATCCCGGCCACGTTCGACAGTACGCCCATTACCCATTCCTCCGCTTCTCAGCAAGGTACCGAACAGACACGAGAGGTGGTGGAAAGAAAGGTCTTTGAGGAGATCAGATTTTGCACATACCGCGACGTGGAAGGATTCTTTGAGAAATACTTCGAGGGGAAAAACTGGACGCGCCGTGCCTTGGGCGTCTATGAGGTGACGAAGGATCGGCACGTTGATGGTGCGTGGACCGATGTTCCTGAACCGCCCGTGCAGGCCAAAGTTCTGGACTGGTGGTTCCGATTCCAGGACGACTTCCTCTCAGAGGAACGACGCCGCTACTATTCGACCACGAACCCGAAGGATCTTGTCGGTGCAGAAGCTCAGTAAAGGCCTTATAGGGACCTCCCTCCGGGCGAAATAAATCCTACTACTACTACCGACACTCTGGACAACATACTTCATATTGAAAACAATGCCGCGGAAAAGCAAGAACAGCACCAAGCGCAACTCGAACCAATTCGAGTTGCTCGATGACGAGGATGACGGTACGAACGACAATGTGGCCTGTAGCATCATTGTGGCCAATTCGACAAGCGCGGCCGACGCGACAAGGACCAGCGCTCGCGGTCGCCCTCTGAAACCGACACTGCAATTCGACCCAGAACCGCGCCCATCACGAAAGAAATCCGCCGTCCCGAAAGCGAAATCGACGAATGCCGACCCGGTGCCAACGAGGATTCATTGGCACGAATCGAAGCTCTCCTGAAACGCGTCGAGGAGCGGGCCGAAAGGGCGGAGAAACGCGTCGAGTCCTTGGAAGAGTTCATTCGAAACGAGCTCTTCCCACGCGTCGCTAGCCCTCCGAGTCCGCCACTCGAAATGCGCCTCATCAGCAACAGCAACAGCACCTGCCACCTTCGCCACCACCCTCCAGTCCCAGGACCACTGCCAGGCATTGGGTTGGACGTGAGTCGGGTCCTAGATAGTGACATAAAGGAAGGCAATGCCGGCACTATTCGTCGGCGCGCGAACGCTGCCCTTGAGAATTTGGGTGTGACCTGTCTTGGCGTCAATTCTAAAGGAAACGGGCGTTTTCGGCTTCTCTTTCGAGAGACGGACGTCGATAAAGTACGGCAGAACGACACCTGGATAAGGACACATTTCGATAAGGGAACGCTATATGGGGAGCAGTGGTACCCTCTACGGGTTGATAGAGCCCATCGTGGGGTTGCGACGGATGATATCGGATGCGCCGTGTTTGGGCGGATGAACGGGGTGAAAGTGCACAAGATGCGATGGCTCGGGACAGCGTCTGTCGACAAGGAATACCGCTCTCTGGTGGTACACCTGGATAAGAAAGAGGAGGTGGACAGGTTGCTTGCAAAACGAACGGTTGAGATGGCGAATGGCGAGTGTGCATACACGCGACCATTCGTTCAGGGACTTCAACCAGCGAGATGCTACCGTTGCCACCTCTACGGACACTTGCATTATCGCTGCAAGGCCCCAGCTCCGATCTGTGGACAGTGCGCCCAACCGGGCCATTCTGCGTCGACTTGCACCTCGAACGTTTTTAAGTGTGCAGCGTGCGGTGGAAAAGGAGCACACAAGGCTACAGATCCTGGGTGCCCGGTATATCGCCGGGAACTCGCCAAGTTACGACCGTCGCCCTACTAACATACATCCTCTGTCTTAACCTTTTCTTTTCAGCACAAACCCTCTACCTATACCTGTGGTTGCCCCACAGCTGGTAGGTTAGCTACACCGGACGGCTAAAGGCAGGTGGACTCTTCGTCAAATGCGGCGGAGGAGAGTGGTCTGTACCTCATCAGACAGGCTCCAGAATTGGAAAGGGACAGGTCAAATGAGCAAGAGACGGATTGAAGGATGTAAGAGAAATTTAGGCATTCGATCGGGACGAATTCCTTGGGCTCGGAACCGAGTATTGGACAACTCTAGAATAGGCTTAGCGAGTCTGACGCAGTGCCTCTGACTATCGTCAATGGCGAAATAAACATCATCATCATCACCGACACTCTGGCCTCCATGGCGTAGTGGTGACACGTCTGGAGCCTCTGCGTCGCAGAGGGGTCGGTTCGAAGCCGGCTGGAGGCACCCCTGAGCGAACAGGGTACACCCGGGTTCCCGCCCGTCAACAGGAACAGCGTCATGAGAGAACACAATCGGCGTACCAACCACCATCAATGACTAACACAACCACGCTTCAACTTCGACACATCGCGCTTCAGTTGCTGGGAATAGGATGCTGAACACTTGGAGAAATTGACCTTCAAGCAGGTCTGTCATGGAGCGAACAGTGGAATGGTTGGCGCAGCGTAAGATGATCTGTGGGGCTTGGGGTGTCATGCATCAGTGTATCGAACCGTCAATAGCCAGAGCGTCTAGGCCCTATAGGGACCTCCCTCCGGGCGGAATAAATCCATACCATACCGACATTCTGTCTCAACATCAATCTGGAACATCTCAACAACCATGGCGGCTATTGACGAAGCGCTTGCTTTCCTGAAGTCCTCAGAATCGGTCAATTACGCTGAAACAGCTCGCCAATTTGGCTGCGATGAGACCACGTTGCGCCGCCGCCATCAAGGCAAACAGCGCTCAAGACGCGATGCGGACTCCCTCTATAAATCTCGACTGTCAAAACAGCAGGAACTAGATCTTGTTGCTTATATTCATAAGCTTTCGTCACGTGGCATCCCGCCTACGCTGTCTATGATCAAGAACTTCGCTCAGGATATGGCGAAAATGGAGGTCGGAAAGAACTGGCCGTATAGCTTCGTCAATCGCCATCGTAACGAGCTTGGTTGTACCTGGTTCGATGGATTTGATGTGGCACGAAAGAGAGCCGACAGTGCTTCAAGGTATAAAGATTATTTTGAGCTGGTACGTTGATGCACAGCATCTCATTTCCGTTGCTGACGGTAGAAGATACGCTCAAAAATTGAGGAATACGACATCGCCCCTTCAGGACATGACATCGCTGCCTCCTTTTCTCATCTACCAAGGCAAGCCAGGACAAGTTCAGGATGCTTGGCTTACGGAATTTGACCCAGAGCATCAATCAGCCTTCTTTACGACCTCAGATACAGGCTGGACCAACCACGAGCTTGGAAAGAGTGGCTTGTCGGCGTTTTTGATCGGTTTACTAAGGCAAAGGCGCGAAACGGCCGCGATTATCGCCTTCTCATTACCGATGGCCACTCGAGCCATATTAATATGGACTTTCTGGAGTGGTGTGACCAGCATCGGATCATCGTTGCGGTGTTTCCCCCTCATTCTACTCATCGGCTCCAGCCCCTGGACGTATCTCTATTCGGTCCCTTGTCGACGGCATATACAAATCAGCTTATCCGGTGGATGGCAAAAACACAAGGACTTGTTGGGCTGTCCAAACGCGAATTCTGGACCTTGTTTTGGAACGCATTGGAGGCGTCCTTCTCCCCGGAGAACATTGCAAGCGGGTGGATGCGGACCGGCCTCCTGCCTTTGGACTCCGAAGTCGTCTTGTCACAGATTGTGAAGAAGGAATACGACGATTCCGATGCAGGCAGCGATTCGGAAGACTCCCTAGCATTGCAGCAACCTACCGCTCGAGAATTACGACGGCTTGTCGACAAAGTGGTCGATAAATCCACCGCCAATGCTGAAGTCAGTGCTCAGAAGCTGAAGAGCACTCTTGAAAGCCTTCAATCCGAGGTTGAGCTGCTTAGATATGAGAACAAGGGACTCCGTGAGACTATAATTCATGAGAAACAGCGCAGGCAGCGTGGTACAGCTCTGAAAGATTATCTCTTTGACCGTACGGATCCTAACTCTGCTCAGGTCTTCAGCCCGCAAAAAGTGGCTCAAGCTCGAGTGAAGAAAGCGGCGATGGAGGTCCAGAAGAAAGAGGAAGCAATCCAGAGGAATTCCAGAGGTTCAGCGACAGAAAAAGGCGGAGGAGCAAAAAGAGGAGGCGTTGGAAAGAAAGAAGCAGCGAGAGGAGAAAAGGGAGCGAAAATTGCAGGAAAAAGAAGCGAAGAAGCAAGAGAAAGCGGCCAGTCGACAACTTCGAGACGATCTCAAAGGTATAAGCCGGGAAAGTGCGCAACAGAAGCCGCGGCCCCAGCGGGTGCCTTCTAAAGCTCGAGAGAAGAGTCCAGGGACTCTAGACGAAATAGTCGTCGCTCTTCCACCAACCCCAGAGCTTCCGGTAACATCGCAGCCGCCAGATCAGCCAAAGGACGGGTTAGTAAAGAAGGTAAGGATTCCGCCAGACCAGACAGCTCGTGCCCAACGACCTTCTCTAGCTGTTGAGAGTGATCGGGAGATGGTAGTGGCATATCGGAGCTCGGGACGCCCGCAGCGGAATAGCAAGCGACCACAGTGGCTTAAGGACTGTGAAACAGGATGATGTATATAAAATACTGCGCCACGCCTTGCACTTTAGTCTTTAGGGCTGTGGTGCAAGGCGTACAATCAGCCGAAGGCTGCGAGTCTGGCTACCAGTCAAGCAGTCAGTCACTGAACAATCAGTACAGTATCTACAATCATACATTCATCTGTGCCTTGAAAATGTCGATCTTGTCGCCGGTAGCATCAAGTGGAGTTACGTAGACCCGTCGCCTATCTTATACGGATTCTGGGTAAGAACCTGTCGTTTGCGAAGTTGTTGATCCTTCATTTTCATCTTAATTCCTTCCGGCGGCGACGCATAAGTCAGGTGATTGCGGTCAAACGGGGCATCCAGCATCAGACCCTGCAGCGTTTTCACACGCGAGACGGCCACGTAGCTCAAACCGGTCTGAAAGTCACGGCACGACAGATCCGTCACGATCATGTCTTCGGTGATGCTCTGCGACTTGTGAACTGTAATGGCGTAGCACACGATCAGGGGAAACTGCGTACGAGTGCAGAGTGTGGCTCCGACGAGGAAGTCCCTGTCTACTGGCAGAATCGGGACAATCTTCCTGCCATCTGTGGTGGTCAGGAATACCGGCCCCGTGTACCGGTACTTGTCAAACTCCATCATGATCACGCAGGGAGGGTCTCGCATGGGGTCAGCTCCAGGCGCCCACGCGATATCGTATACTGTACCACGTGCACCGTTGCAGAGGCCAACCGGCTGCCAAAGGTTGGACGTCAGCATCAGACGGGCGCCAATGCATACGGAATCTGCTTCGCAAGGTTGCCTGCCTTGTCGTCAGGAGCAGCAGCAGCACCGGGGCCAACGTTCTTAGCCATGACCTGGATGACAGGCCGGCCTAGGCGGTCGAGGTGGTAGTGGTTATATTCGTTCACCCTGTCTTTCGTGGCGTATACTCGTAGGGAATTGACGAACTTGGCAACCTCCTGATCGTCCAGCTTCGCCTGAACACGGCTGGAGAGGAGCTTCCAGGACTCCATAGAGAGTTGGAGCAGCCGCAATTCCTCAAGAGCTGAGCGAAACGCTGCCTGATCGTCGCCGCGCTGACGCTGGGCAACCTTCAAGAAAACCGTCTTGTCGAAGCGCCGATATGCGTTCCTGCCCTTGATCTCTACCCCCTGCACCTCCTTGTCGTAATAAAGAGGCTTCTGCAGTACAGGGGGAAGCTGAAAGAAGTCGCCAACCAGGAGGATATTAAGACCACCAAAGAACTCCTCATTTCTATTCGGGAACGCCTCACGGAGACGGTCATCAATCCATGACAGCTGTCGCAGACCCAGCATGCTCTTCTCATCGACGATCAGGTACTTGACATCCTTTAGCTTCTTCTGGAGCTGAGCTTTGTCGATCGCTGACAGGGGCTTGAAGTCCTTGTTGATGGGGAGGTGCAGCAGGGAGGTAGTGCCCGATATCTGATTTCCGCAACGCCCGTGGGCGCGGCACGCCAAACAGGCGTCCTCTTCCGCCCGAGGCGGCTTGGAGGTGCGCCGAAAGCAGATTGATGAGGTATGATTTGCCCGTGCCACCGCCGCCGTCCACATGGAGTAACAACTGGGAACAGGCCTGGGTCAGAAAGTGGCCCATCACCGTATCGTACACTAGGCGCTGCTCCGGATTCAGGGAATCGCGAGCCTCCAGCGGCTGATGATCCACATCAAGGTGAAGGGGATTTTCGGCTTTGCGTTGCTTCCAGAAGTCGCCCTGGAGAATGCCGTCATCGGTATACCGTCCAACGTGGGGAGTCCAGTCATAATTCACGTCGACATCTCGCCGGCCCAGCACGTCGATATCCTCCTCCTCCAGCGGATGGTCTGGCAGCATACGGGCGAGTTCATGCCAATCTTCCTCCACGACAGGCTCTTCGTGCTCCTCCCGCTGAAACTCATCGTCCTCTGCCTGCAGCTCATTTGCTCCCACCTCGCCGTAATGGTCGTCCTCATGGAAATGGTGTCGCTGCCGGCAGCACTGGTACGCCGCCGCAAAGGACTCAAACGGCTGCCCGTCCACAGCAAGCAGCTCCTCCGGAGAGCGATGCGGATGGGCCATCATCAACTTGACACGGCAGAAGTCATGAAACTGGGGTGATGCCTCCGCTGACCTGTACCGAGGAAGTAGGACAGGACCCTCTTCTTCGCGTTCGCACCGAGTCTCCTCCACGTCTTGAGATTGTAGGACTGCAGGTACTCGAGATAGGTTATACTCTCATGTTGGTCATTTCTCTGCAGATATTTCCGGTAGCTGCCGACAGCCTCACTGACATCCTCGTCGACGCGGAACGACCGCACATGCTGCTCCAACGGACGGCAGTCGACGTACACAACCATCCGAGTGCCTTCCTGCAGAGGGATGTTGAGCAGCAAGTGGGAAATTTCCTGCGCTGAATAATCTCTCTCGGCAATCAACTTATTCATAAGGCGAGAGGAGAAGGACAACAGGGGCTGGTGGTGTGCTGTATGCGGCAAAACCTGATCTGCGAGCTTGCAGTAAGGCTCCGTCTTCTTCTCCGATTTGCTGCAATACTTGGCAGCATACGTAATGACTGCCTGTAAGCTGGTGCAGGGCGATATGTCGATATTGGCCAGCCAGCCCAGAATGATGGCAGGATTGAAGTGGTTCATGAGGCTGTCGTTGCGGGCTGCCTCGAAGATGTAATATGACTTACCTTCTTTCCTGATGACTGCGGCTAGCTCCCGCAAGGCACGGGGGAAGTTGAAACGACACTCCCTCTCCGGATCGGCGACATTGGCCGCCTCGATATCGGCTGCAGCCCTTGCATATCGTTCGCCAGGTCCCCACTTCTTTCGGACCCGCAAGCAGTACGCGGTATTGCATCTGTGGCGCTGGCAGCGGTTGACGATTTGCGAGAGCCGCAGGAATGTCATCTCTACGCCCAGCGGATCCACACTCAGGGGATTCCCTTCACCCTGGGGCATTGTCCTGTTCGGCTCCGGGTTAATGGCAGTGATGTGGAATCCCCACGTGCGTGCAAAAAGGTCGCGAGCGGTTTCATCCCTCATGTCGGCTACCGGGCCATTCTCCATCCAGTACAGACCGTGGTTGTGTGGACTCCACGCCCTTGCCATTCATACCGGCCCCAGTAATCCGTCACGTTAAACTTCGTTCTCAACACGATATCCCGAAAGAGACAGTATCGGCGGTGAAAGTGGAAAGCAGCAATGTGAGGTTCTGCCGCAACAAGTACCGCGACAATGCCATCCTTTCCGGCTCGGACGCGCCCAGCCATTCTTCATATCGGGGCATGTGTTGGTAGAGGCTCCGCCAGCGTAAATCAGCCGGGCTAAATGTGATGAATGCGCCAGGACAACCAAGCTGTAGGCATACGCCTCGAGGTCCTGCCTCTTTCTATTCCAAAGGGTCGCGTACCGCGAATCGACACCGCATGCCTTGTGATCGAGTTGATCAGCGCCTGCGCCCGTGGATCCTCAGCGTGTTCGAGCGCCTGAATAAGCTGCTCTCGCGTGAGCGGCTCACGGGTGCCATCGTGTTGCTTCACGAAGAATTTGGACCTCGCACGTGCTTGGGACCGCATCAGGGTGTTGAATGCGACAAAGCGGAAGGTTGGATGGCGCGCAAAACGGCCGTCGTGCCACCGCATCGCGTGCTCGATGTAATCCTTGTACTCAATGGACCGCAAGCGAGGCTCCACAAAGTCGGCTCTGCCGTCTGGAAACAGGCAGGGAATGCCAAGGAGAGCAGGGCATGAGAGTGATTGAACTCATTGATCGGCGTGTGCCGTATGTTGGGAAGCTGGAGCTCGTGCCTCGCCTGCCCTGGAGAGCCTGTGGCAAGGTTGCCCCGCATCCGCTTCGGATTCACCCGCGAGAATAGACCGCAGAGCATCCAGCTCCGTGTCCTTGGCCAACAGGTCAGGCACCGCAGCCGCATCCTCTAGGTCAGGCTCTGCCTCCTGATCTTCCTCCGGTCCCACATCGGCAGCCTCCACCTGACTTTGGGGGATGGCGTCCACCACATTGCCGTCCTCGGGCAGTTGGCTCAGTCGCTCGTCGTCGATCGCGATGGATCGATAGCCAGGATGATGATGGCGCAGGTAGTCTAGCCATATCATAACCGCCTGGCGACGCACGCGGAACTGGCGGGTGAATTGCCGGCTGAGATTAGCGTGTGACGACGTGTTGGCAGGACGCAGCAACACCGTGTTCAACTCCCGCGGCAGGAGAGGAGCTGGTTGTACACCAAGCCAACCTCGCGGAGAAAGTGAACGACGTGCCCTCGATACTTGTACTGCTGCCCCGCACAAGCATAATGTTCACGTGGACATGGACACGAGCAATCAATGCCTCTTCGGTAGGTGTGAGCTCGGGCAATCGGGTCGGTACGGGGCCAAAGTCGAGCTGGTTTTCCGCAGAGAAGAAGTAAGGCTCGTCGGGGCCACGTTTCTCATCCTTTCGATAGCAACGCGAACAAATGCCGTCATAATCTATTTCCATCTGAAACCAACACTCGCGGCATCGGCTGCAGTATTCCATCTGGTCATTGTTGAGCTTGGTCCAGAACTCACGGAGGGTGGCCCTATCGCAGTCCGTCAAGGCCCAAGCATCCAGGTCGCCAGTCCACGCCGGATCTTGTGCACGGAAGACCGCCATTTCTTCCGGTGGAATTATCACTGGACTTCGAATACGCCGTGGCGGCCGCGACAGTCGATATTGCCGTCGAGGTTGTCTCTGGATTCGCCTTCCCGGTTGTCTCGGCCGCCCTCCTGTGCCAGGGGCAGGACCACGGCGGCCGCGTCTTGGCCGCGCAGACGGCTGCTGCAAGCGACTACGAACAGGGCTTTCATACACTGAATCGTTATCGCTGTTCTCGTCTTCGTTCTCGGCATCGGAGTTACAATCAGCCCCTAATTGTTCACGGTAGCGACGCGGTCGAGCGGGGGAAAGCAGCAGGTTGAAATAGTCCTCGGCGTCCATATCGGGTTCGGAAAACTGGTCTCTATTGCCCCCTTCCTTGGCTACCTGATCCCCATTCGGCTGCGGCCGATCTCGACTCGCATCTACTTTCCCTGTTAGCCCGAACACACTGCTGCAACGAAAACACAAGGGACATCTTATCCAGGACACCCGAACCTTCCGAGACGCCGAGTTCAGATATGGAAGGAGTCAGGGACACAGTCTCCCCTGCACGACGTCGTGATCGATGGTCGCGCTGGATAGCGGCCAGCTTAACCCTAGCCCCTGCGGTAGAGAGATCATCTTGCGATACCTTCCCGCCTTTGTGAAATCTAGCAGCCAGGTAAGAATAATTCATTCTGGTTGCGTTGCCTCGGGCAGTCGATGAATCAAAATGGGAGGCGACTGGATCGGTCGCTGGCTGCTCAGCAGGTGACGGGGCCAGCGCCCGGAAGAACCGCGAGCTTTGTTGGGTTGGTGGAATTGGCGTTCCCAGCTCTATGTGCGGCTGGCTAATTGACTTTTTGAATAACGTCATAGCTGCATGAAGTCGTCGTAGCTTCTCCGGCGAACTAGGCTGGGTTCCCGATCTCTCGCTGGGAGGCGACAGGTCAGCATCTGCCTCGACTCTTTTCACGCTAGCTCTCCCAGGCGAGGAAGGACGGGCGGCGAGGTCCCTCAACGTCAGAATCGCCCCTCGGGATCTTGAACACTTCACTTCGTTAGTATTGAATGTCATACGGAGCGGGAAGACAGAGCTGACATGAGAACTGCACCGACTCCGACAGTCCAGGCAGTTCTTGGTGTTCCCGCCAGTTTTCCGTTTGCTCACGAAGTCACCTGCCGGTTTCTTCTCGCCACAGCGGGCACAGACGATCGAAGCCAAGTCAACTTGGAGCCCTTGAGTAGACCTAGAACTCATTATTCAGCCGAAGGCTTGAAGCAAGATATCAAGACGAGTTGGGTCAGTGAAGTTTCCATGTCACGCGACATTCCAAGTCACGCGACATTCCAAGTAAACAAACCGGGACCCACTTTTAGAGCCGTCATCCAGTTGCTGATCGTTTTGCGACCGTACATACAAATTTGGGACCAATCAGAGCCCAAGAAACTTATGACCCTGTCTGCACCCTACAGAAGAGAGAGAGAGAGTTGGCGACAGTAGATAGGAGACAGGAAGAAGAGTGAGGTCGAAATACGAGACACGGCGAGAGACGTAGAGCATTATCGTGAGTGAAACCGAGACAGAGCGTCGGGGAGGCAGGCTAGGCCGCTGGAGGGAGATTTTGTTTAAAAAGGCGCAAACTCAAAGGGCGTGGAGAGACGGCAGGGTTGAAGAGAGATGAGTGGGTAATGCATGTCTGGGCGAGTGGAAGGCTCGGAAAATTTACATGTGCTACCGGTATAAGTCGTAGGTATAAACAGAATAAGGAGTATATTGGGGAAGTTTTGACTTGATCGTCTTCATGAAAAGGAGAACAAGAAGAGAAGAGAATGTGCTATTCGAGCCTTTGGCAGTTGATTTTGAGGATGATGAGACATGTTGTCATGTTGTATTGTTTCGTTTGATGCTTTAAAGTTTAGAGAATATTCTTGGGCGGACGTCGGGCGCGCAGTGGTCGGGAAGATATCGACGCGGGAGGTCTGATAGAGCCAGAGGCGGATGTGTCTTGGTGATTGACCTGTTCGGTGTCCGTTTCTGACTCTGCGGGGTCTTCCGGGGACAGAAAGGAGGAGGTATCGGATTTGGGGGAGTCTTGACCGTCACAGTCGGTGATTATGGTGGAAGTTTCGGGAGAAAGTCGCGGTCTCTTGGTTGGGGTTTGGTAGGGATCGGGCATTGACCGACTTGATGCCAGCATAAGGGGATCGACTGGGCCAGAAGCATGCGGCGTGGGGGAGGCGGGGCTTTGGGCGGCCTTGGGTTTCTTCGTAGAGGTAAACCTGGCCAACGCAACGCTATAGTCCGAGGGATTGCCGACCGCGCTCTTGGGTGTCGTCGGCAGTAGTTGTGTTGCAGAAGCCTGGTCGGACATGGCCTTGTCGTGGAAAGTCCACGTGTCGGGGACGACGATGAAGATATAGTCTTGGTCGAAAGCCGGGGCATGTTTCATGATCTGGTGATCCAGTAAGCCGGCGATTTTGCCCGTACAGGTGAAGAGAGCGTTCGACTGGAACTGGCTGTCGCGCCTCTCGGTCATCTTCTTGCATAGGAGGTCCAAGGATTAGCGTGAATGGGGAAGATGACGAAAACTTGGAAGGGTGAAAGCCCTTGAAGGGGTTTTGCCGGGAATCCCAGGACAAATAAAGGTGGAGAGCTGGACAAAGCCGCAGCAGCTCAGCTGGGTGTCGTCAAGGGCCGCAGCCGAGTTTCCATGCAGGAGGTCGCGGCCGGAGCCGATGACAGGTCCCGTGAAGGAGACAATGGGTTGTATCGTTGGGAAAGTATCCACCGAGCTGAGGGTGCGAGTGACAATTCTATGGATATCGTCAGGGAGGGCAGTGGCGACAGAGAGATTTGGAGCATAGACTCACGGTTGGTAGCTGTGATCGCGGACTATAAGCGCGGGGACGGTGTATTCTGTGATGTTATCATCGTCCGACTCCAAGCCATCACGTCGCTCGATTTCCCACGTCAGGGCAAAGGGATGAACACGGCCGACCATGAAGAACCATTGCTCGGTCCATTCCGAGGAGATTATTTGTTGGTTGTATATGGAAATATTAAGGCTGAAGAAGATGCAGGTCGATGGATTGCCAGTATCTGACCGGATTGCTGCATACTCCGGAGTCGACAGCCATGAGGGCGTGGGAAGGAAGACCTCGCTAGGGTTTCTGCGTTGAGCCCTTTGACACGATGCTCATTCTGGTAGGCGAACCTAGCCGGGCAGCCGGGCTGGACAAAGGCCATCATGGACATGTCGGCGCCAGCATTTTCTGGCTGTCAAGAGGTTGCCGCGGGAGGACGAGGTATCGACGTTGAGCTGGGAGGCCGACATCGTGAGAACATGGCAGATGTAGTCACCGTGGAAGTGTAAATGAGGGGTTACGCAGAGTGGAGGTGGGCATCCTATAAAGCAGGTTTTCTTGCTGCTCGAAAGAGGGCTCGCGGCTAGGGTCGGGGAGACTTAAGAGTCAGAGAATGCTACCTAGGTGATAGATCAGAAGCGGGGGTATGCGGGAATGAGCTGGCGAGGTTCTTGAACAGTCTCGACCATCTGGTTCTATGGTCGTGAGTGAAGTAGGAGCCGGGGTTGGAAGTTGAGTAGGGGTGATGGCTATGTCGCGAGAAGTTGGAGGTCGGCGAACAGTAAGGTTAGTGTGGGTAAGTCTGCGGAGAAAGAAAGTCCAGCAGTACCCTTCGGTGTCATCGTTGCATGGAGTAGATAGCAAAGGCGACAATAACGAATGAGAGTGAAGGAAAGAAAGAGGTTATGGTAGTATTGCAGGGGTCCTTTTTTGACGGGCGTCGGTAGTTGGATGGGCATTGCGTGCGGCTGAGCGAGGCGGGTGCCGACCGTGTCGAGTCCACTATTGGGACACGGTGAAGTCGGATATAGGGGACGACCTGAGGAGGAGGATGCGAGTTGGTCACGAGAACTCCAAAAGGGGTTGCAAATCGAGACTCCGGTGGCTAGCGACTACAAGAGGACAGGCAGGGGATCCTGGCTGTCGCTTTAGCATGAAGGCCGTTGATGCGACGTTGGTGGTGGCGAGGAGCAAACCTAGCCGGGTAGTCCGGTTGCACGAGGACACCGTGGACATGTTATCGCCGGCAGCCTTTGGCTGTTGCTCGACGAGGTGGAGTGGCAGATATTGATGGAGCAACTGATGCGCAAGGTGGGTGGGACGGCGTTGGAAGGGCCGGAGTATGGTTGGAAGTGTGCGGCGGGCGGTTGGCGCGGCCACCCCATGTGCCGGAGGTCGGCAGTAGCCAGGATTCGCTGGAGTGCGCAAAGAGAGCACGGCGATGGAAGGGCCGCCTTTGGCAAAGCTGGGGTAGCAGGTCGCACGTGGAGACCAGCCGAGGGCCGGGACGGTGGACGCACATAGGGAGGGTAAATGGGGATTACAAAGGGTAGTAGTATTGCATCGCTTCGGTACCATAGGCAAGCATTATAAGGGAAGAAACGCCACGGCCATGAGAGTAGTGATCGTTAGGAAGCTTCCCACTCGGAAAGAAATAGTGTACGCCAAGAAGCGAGATTATCCAAGTGGAAGTGCTCCGAGCCAAAACTTTCTAGCCTGTTGCCAATCCACGCTAGTCGACGTCGAGGAGGCAGTAGCATGGCGGACAGTCCTGCAGGAAGCTAGGCGAGGCGGCCGCTCACCGTGGAGCCTGTTCGTTGTCAGTCGAGGATGGAGAAGAGGGTAGGAACGGGGGAGTGCCTGTTTCGGGGTGCGGAGATGATACAGGGGCAACTCCCGAGAAGGGGCACGGAGCACGGGAGACAAGGTTGGGGCGGTTCGGGAGATACAGATCAGTGGCGAATGAAGCATTAACGTTCCGGCTGATTCAGCCTAAGCAGTCTGCGGTCGAAGAAACCGCATGGAGAAAGCATGCAGAGGCGATCGCAAAGTCACTGCCGAGAAGACCGCCGCGAGGCGGTTTGCGGTCAAGCAGAGCACGGAAGTCCCGTAATTTGGTCAGCAGCGGAAATTCCGCGCAACGTCAGTCACCGAGTCCGCTTCCGAGGTTCGTGTTGCCTACAGAACGTGGAGACCAGGGGCAGTGGGCTCTAACAGTCCGCCCTTCATCGGCCGTTTTGCCCCAGGAGAGGTCCTGAAGGTGACGGGCAGGGAGATAAGGCGGCGACCGGCGGTGTCCCGGGTGTTCGTTCGAAAAAGGGACCGACGCTCCGACCTATCCAGCCCAAGGATACGACTTTCCAAGACCTAAGACGAACGGCGCAATTTGCAGCATCGATTGCATGGGGTTTGCCCAAGCTCCGTCGGGGACCGGTTCGGCGGCCAAGGGCACAGGTGGGTGTGGACGATGGCGCAGCAGAGGCAGCGGACGGCTCGCTGCGCGGACAGAGGCAGTCCCGGAGGCGAAGAGAAGAGAGCCCGTCTTCCTAGCCGGGATGGGCGCCCGATAAAACAGGTCCGAAGTGGAATCGGAAGGCATAGGAGACGGGAGCTGCAGGCCGAAGACCTGGCGAGTGTGCTGCGCTTTTTGGAGGAAGACTTTGCCTTGAAGGAGAGATTGTCTAACGATCAGACGTGGTGCACGCCAATACCGCTCGAGAGGAAGGTGTCGACGGTGCGAGACTTCTATCAGGCGTTCCACGATGCGAGCACGTTGCCGATACGGACCTGCATGGTGTGCTACCGCAAGTGTACGAGAGGAGAGTTGAGGGAGATTACATGGGATCATTGGCTGTCAAGTTGCGTACCAAAGGGCGGCCGCTCACCATTTTCATGCCGGAGTTGCTTTCCTGAGGGCGAGTCCGTGTCGGTGTGCGCCGAGTGTGGCCGATGCCTGGCGCGCAGGAGCCTGTCGCCGGCGATCCACCTTCACAGTCGCCTTGGCTGCGAGCACATGTTCCCCGATGAGCTCAAGGGACTGACGCCGGTCGAAGAGAAGCTCATCTCGCTGAACTCATGTTACGGGTTTGTCACGAGATATAGCATTCCGGGCGGGCAGAGGCAGAGCGTGAAGTATCCGAGGCATGTCAGGGGCCACATCACGGTGTTTCCGAACAATGTGCAGGAGCTGGCCACCAAAGTGCTCCCGCACCCCCTTTTGCAAGCACTGGACGAGATCCACATCTCGTGGCAGGGCGCGGAGAAGCCGGCACCGAGCGACCTGTCGAGTCTCTTGTCGGTGAGGCGGCGGGTGGTCGAGAGGGCCCTTGTCTGGCTGAAGCGGAACAACCCCACTACGCCGAGATCGAGATCGACGCGGCGGAGATGGAGAGCTGGGAGACTCGATACACGGGGTACCGTCGTCGGTGTGCGATCGTATGGAGCGGAACGAGCCGTCTGGGTGGGAGAAAGCGCGGACGGCGCACGTTGTGCCGCCCACGGAACGCGCCGTGGACGAGGAGGGCCGGTGGAGATCGAGGAGCTCTTCGCCCTGCTCAACCAAGGACAAGAAGCCGGCGGCCAGGGTGAAGGTCACGGGCCCAACGGAGAAGGCGCGGTTCGCGATGGAAGTGACGCCTGCCCCGACCAGAACGTTCCAGCGATCAACGAGGTGACGTCTTCTGGCATGTTCGCGCTCGACGGACCGCCAGACGTCGCGGACGTGGAGAAGCTGCAGTTTGCCTGTGACGCTGTTGGTGAAGGTGCCGACGACGGCCGTGCGGGCCCGAGAGCGTGGGTCGGGTCCCTAGCCGGGGGGGTTCGGGGGCGTGGCGACGGTGGTTGTGAGCCATACATCCGGGTTTCGCGGGGTGAGTTTACCGATTCCTTTGAGGCGTCCTTCTTTGCCAGGACGTTCCCGACCCTGTTCCCATTTGGCGTTGGGGACCAAGGCTGGTTGAAGAGACCATGGTCGACGCGGGAAGGTCACGGCCAACTTGCGAGGCAGGGCTGTCGAGGCAGAGGCGGCCGCGGAGACCCCGTATCGTCTCGAAGCTTGAACCTTCAGGCGTGGGCCGAGATCGTGCTCCGGCGCCATGGTGGTCGATTTGCACTGCACCACATCTTCGCATTTCTCGTCTTCAACATGGGGGTGCGATCGAGGAACCGCCGGGTCAGCATGTTGAGTGTGGGGAGGAAGAACTTCCGCAAGGTAGAGCGCATCGTGCGTTCGATGACCACAGAAAGGCTAGCGGCGGCGAGGGTCGAGTTGGAGAGCTCGGGTAAGACGACCGATGGTGACGTGAAGGAGCTTCTCAGGAGCCTCTCGCTTTACGGCCACCGGCAGCCCATGTCGAGAGGTCCGTCTCAATATGCGGCGGAAAATCCAGTCGCTCATCGTCGGATATGGCGTGCCGGCCATCTGGTTCACCATCAACCCGAACGACATTACGAACCCGGTGAAGCTGCGACTGGCGGCATACCGCACACGCGATCCCGACGCGGCCGAGGAGTTCTTAGAAGGCCTTGGGGATGCGTATAAGCGGGCACGGCTGGCGATATCGGATCCCATGAGCTCGGCCGTGTTCTTCCACCGCGAGATGAAGCTGTTCTTCGATCATTACGTGAAGGTCGGTGAAGAGTCGGTATTCGGGCGCATCGGCAAGTACTATGGCGCCGTGGAGACGAACGAACGAGGGCGCTTCATGTTCACGGCTTGCTCTGGCTGCACGGGAACGCGCATCTCAGCTCGATGCTTGCCGACATCCACGGGGAGGGTCAGGCGGCGTATCGCGAGCGAATCGTCCGATACATCGATAGCGTCTTCTCAGAGGTAAGAATGCCTACCTAAGATGTGCCACCGGGAGCCTGAAGTACTCTTCTGATGGCCAAGTGGGGCCGGGTTGACGTGCAAGGCAGGATCTGGACCAGGAAAGTTTTTGCGCCGTGCAAGCGGAGCGATCTGTGACGGGCGGTATTGGTTCCCTGCTGGACAACGCCGCGCAGTTCTCGGCCGCGTTTATCGAGGAGGCCAACTTCTGTGCCGGCGCGACGCAGGTGCACACGCATAGCCCGACCTGTGTGAAGTATTCCTTGGGCAAAGGAGGGCGGAAGGGGACCTCTGCCGGTTCAAGGCGCCATGGAGGTTAGTCGACAAGACCGCCCTCACGGCAGACGGGGTGCTGCAGATCCGGAGGACACACAGCATGGTCAATCGATGGAACGAGGCTATTGCTGTCGGGCTCCGGCACAACCATGATATTTCCTTCATTGCGACGCAGCGCAAGACAATGGCCCTCATCTATTATGTCACGAACTACGCGACCAAGGTGGAGGACCCGGTGTGGAAGCGTGTGGCGGCCGCGGCCGAGCTCCTGGCCGCCTCAACAGGTGATGGCACGGCCAACGGAGGGCGGGACGGTGGCGGAGACGCTGCCACCGATGACCCTGTCGGGAACAGGACGCGACAGTTCCTGATGAGAGTGGCGAACCGCGTGTTCACGGAGCGTCCGCTATCACAGGTCGAGGTCGTCGCTCACCTTCTCGGATATCCGGCCGAGTTCACCGACAGCAGCGCGTGGGCGTACCTGAACTGTTCTCTGCTGTACTGGGAAGTCTTTCGGCGATGGCGGCATCTCCGAGAAGCCAGTGGCGCTGCGGCTATGGATGACACCTTGGATGAGTCGGTCGTCGTCGAAGAAGAAGGCCTGAGAATCTCCCACGTCGAGGCGTACCAGCACCGGGGAGCTGCTGAAAGGCCTATGCCTGTATGACTACATATCGATCGTCAGACTGAAACGCATCGGCAACGACGAGAGCTGGGCGGCTTGGGGAGATGTCTTTCGAGGATGGATGGGCGCCGGGACGACGCTGGGTTCAGGTGCTCAGGCGGCCGGGCAAGCACGCTACCGTCTGCCTCGACGGCTACCTGAGCAAGGACTTCACCTACGATGACGAGTCGTGCTACCGGAGGTGTGTATGGCAACTGCTCTGTCAGCGGGCATTATCGGAGAGGCTAACCCACCCCTGAAGGGCAGCCGTGCAGCATCTTGCGCTGTTCGTGCCGTGGAGTCCTTCCTGGGCGAAGGAACAGGTGAGATCAACAGCATCTGGGCGCGGGCTCGAGACGCTATGGCCCCGAGAATATCATGTCTCGTCGACAACGTGCAGCTGCTTCGACGATCCGCCGAAGACGCAAAACGCGACGCCAAGCAATGGGCAGCCTCGTCCGGCGATGGCGACCCGACGGTCGCACACGTCGAGGAGGGTGGAGCAGGCGAGGCGGGCGCGGAGTCTGCAGCGACATATCAGCCCAACAGCATCGGAGACGCAACGCGGCTCATCGACGTCGTCCGAGGTGCAGTGGGAGCGAATCAGGTGACGGCCAAGTCGCCGGAGCTCATGGCAATGATACAGCAGCTCTGTCGGTTTCAGCAATCGGCGCTGCGCTCGACGGCCGAGCTCGAGGCCACGGCGCTGATCGAACGAGGGGAGAGGCGGCTAAGCATGCCAGGGCGGGGATTTTCCGGGGCCGCACTACCGCCGCAGGATCAGGTCAAGGCTATCAAGTCGCAGCAGGTAAGTGCCTCGAAGGAGAGGAGAGGATGATCCAAGGGATACAAAGCACGCCCGCCGCCTGGGAAAGCGATCGCCGCGCAGCGTTGCGAAGGGTGATGACCGGTTTCGGGAGGACGAGGTCGAAATGACGATGGCCGACTCCGACGAGACCGCTATCGACGCAGGGGCGGGAATGGACGTTCAGTTTGGCCCATCAACCTCCTTCCTCGCGGCGGGCAAGGTGTTGGCAACACGGCTGACGCTGAACAAGAGGCAGTCCATCGCTTTTCTGATAATATGCCGCCAGCTCGATTTGATGCAGCAGACCGACGGGGCGATGCCTGCCAGCTGCGCCAGTTCGTCGGTGGCGAGGGCGGTACCGGCAAGTCGCGAATCATCGAGGCACTCGTCGAGCTGTTCAGTAAAAAGAGCCTTTCGAATCGTCTGCTGATCACGGCGACGTCGGGGACTGCGGCGGCGCGGATCAACGGCATCACGTTCCACTCCGCCTGCGGGTTCACTAAAGACCAAGGGGCGGGGGGCGCGAACATGGTCAAAGACCTTGACGGGGTGCGGCTGCCGAAACAGGCGGAGCGGTTCATCCACGGCCAGTCTCGAATGGATTGGCAGGAGAAGGATGTGCTCGTCATCGACGAGGTGAGCATGCTCGGGGCGCGGACGCTGCACGCCGTGAACGAGCGGCTTCGCCGGCTTCGCGGATCGCGGCAAGATTTCGGGGGGATCCCCATCGTCCTCTTCTGCGGAGATTTTCAGCAGTTCCGGCCGGTCCAAGAGAGGTCGATCGTCCTGCCTAGCGCGGCCATCTCGTGGGACGTAGACAACTCGTTCAAGGCCGAGCAGCGTCACCAGCACGACAAAGCGCACGCACTGTGGAAGAGGTTCACGACGGTCGTCATGCTGGACGAGCAGATGCGCGCCGCCGGCGACCCGGAGCTGCAGAGGCTGCTGAAGCGGATCCGTCTAGGCGTGCAGGATCGGACGGATCTAAACCTCCTCAACTCAAGGTGCTACCGGGAGGAAGGCGGATCCCTTGGGAGACGGGCATCACCGTGGTGACGCCGCTCAATAGGAATCGGTGGAACCTGAACATGGAGGCGAGCCTGGCGTTCCGGGTCCAGCAGCGGTCGACGATGCGCATTTTCATCTCCGAGCACAAGTGGAAGGAGGAGCTGCCGACGGAGGAAGAGGCGATCATGATACTCAACCAGGGCGACGATAGCGCGATCCCGGTGCCGGCCGTCTTCATGTTCGTGGCCGGGATGCCCATCGTGGTGAACCACAACACCCACCAGGGGCTGAAGCTAGTGAACGGCGCGAGCTACTCGGCGGTGGAGGTCATTGTCGACAAGGCGTACCCGGGGCATCGGATCTCGGCCGATATGACGATCCACTTCGGGCCGCCGGCGGGGATCATTCTCGAATCGGAGACGACGAGATATCTCCACTTCGTCGGGATGCCGCCGGGCACGATCTTGTTGACACCCATGACCGTTAAGATACAGTGCCAGCGAAAAAGGCCGTGGCAACGCAACGACGTCAGCCGAAAGGGTTTGCCGTGCGCAGCAGCGTTCGCGTGCACGGACTACAAGGTGCAGGGCAAAACGCTGGAGCGCGTGGCCCTCGAGCTGCGAGGACACGGACGACGAAGATGGATGGAACGGTGGTGCCCTCGCAGTGCGACCCGTACGGCCTGTACGTGCAGCTATCGCGCTGCCGAACTCTAGACGGCATCATGCTCGTGTCCAAGGTGCGGGACAGAGACTTGGTGGGCAACCGGGTCCCCGAGGAGATGACTGCCGCACAGGCCAGGCTCGAGGTACTGAGCGAGAGGACCGTTGAGGAGGCGTTGCGCTGGCTGGACGGTGATGCTGAAGAGTCAAGGCGGCCGCGCTAGGTGACGCGATGAAGAGTTCGGCAGGCGGGAAGAGTCAGCAGGCGGCAGACAGGGTGGGAGGCGCCTAGTGGTGGGATAAGGCACGCGAAAAGGCAACAGAAGCCGGGGGAAGGGCAGCGACCAACAAGGAGGGAGGCAAGGAGGGACCAATCACAAGGGACCAATCAAGGGGCGGAGAACTTTTGGGGGGAGAGGGCGGGGTCTGCGGGGCACGTTAGAAGGCCTTTCGTTCCTCAAGGCATTGGGAAACTTATTCTGATTAATGTAAAGTCAGCCTTCGGCTGAATTAATGTGTGAGTTTTTATTGGCTGTAATCCCTGTAAGGTACACGCTTGCAGCCTTCGTACACTCAATGGGATGTGTGACACAGCCAATGTACGTGATTGACCAACCTGGCTCTGGGCGGTTGTTACGCCGAGCTTGAAGATCAAAAGGGTCGATATTCTGTTCGTTCGGGTGATCTGTTCATTTGGGTGTCCAGCACCCACTTTAGTGGGTACCAAAGCGAATCCCCTTAAAGTGGGGCGTGGCACGGGTAGCTAGCGCGCAGGAGAACATTCTCCAGTGGCGCGGGGGTTTATTTTCCCGACGCGTGGAAGGGACGCCTGTAGTGTGCGTTTCGCGACGCACCGTCTCCTCTTCTCCTTATCCATCACGCATGCAATACGACCAGAAGAAAAGCCTGCCGACCATGATAGATCAAGCCCGATCAAGTGTCATCAAGGACAACCCTATCGGAAACGGTCTTGATTCATTTCGCACCTCGTTCGATTCGCTCTGCGATGGCAGAAGCATAGACAAATCTTGTCAAAAAGGTACCATGAGCCCCCGTCTCGTACGCTTCTTCTAACCAGCCTGCAGATTTCAAGAACATCACTCTTGATCTCCTCTCCGCACTGCAGTCACTTCGGGCGTCGCGCCTACTTCAATCTGCTGCCAGTGGTAAAAGCCTGTTCGCCGACCTGTTGAGACTGAACGCCGCCGTCGACTCCAATGACTTAGATCTTGAACGTACAAAACCACTTTTGAATGCAGTTGTCAGAAAGGCGCCCGACCATGAGATTTGGAGCGTCGTGCTTGATCTCACCGCCTCACTCGCCCGAGTCACACCTCCTGTAAGCGTCCCAGCCGCGGTCGGCGATACGCCCATTGTCCATTCCTCCGCTTCCCAGCAAGGTTCCGAACAGACACGTGAATTGGTGGAAAGAAAGGTGTTTGACGAGATCAGGTTGTGCACATATCGCGACGTGGGAGGATTCTTTGAGAAGTACTTTGAGGGGAAAGAATGGACGCGCAGTGCCTCGGGCGTCTATGAGGCGACCAAGCACCGTCACGACGGTGGCGCGTGGACTGATCTTCCAAATCCGCCTGTGCAGGCCGGAGTTCTGGACTGGTGGTTCCAATTCCAAGACGACTGCCTTTCCGAGGAACGCCGCCGTTACTATTCGACAACGAAACCGAAAGACCTTATCGGCGCCGAAGCCAAGCGACAAATCGATCTCTTTGTCAAGCGAAACGACGGGCAACAGCCTGACGCAGTCCACGACTGGAGGGACGTCGATGTGATCGGCGAGCTTAAGGCGTCCAACAACAACAAAAAGGCGACTCTTCTCCAGCTCGGCCGGTACGTGCGGGATGTTTTCTCCTGCCAGCCGACGCGTCGATACGTTCACGCGTTTACGATTTGCGGGCGCGAGATGGAGGTTTGGGTATTTGACCGCTCGGGATGTTACAGCCCTGGACCGTTCGATATCGATGCGGAGCCCAAGCGTTTCATTCGGGTGATCGCCGGCTACACAATGATGAATGATGAGGAACTGGGCTTGGACATATTTACAGAGCAGGATGGCGATAATCGCTCGATACTCGTGGAGGACGTGGCCTCGGACAGTACGAGGCTGCGGTTGGCGTCGCAGTCTTTCACCCATCAACGGGCAATTGTCTGCCGTGGGACGTCTTGCTATTTCACGAAGCCTCCTATGTCCGAAGACTGGAGTTATGTCACCAAGTTTTCGTGGACATCTGACAGGCGAAAGCCAGAGGCAGATCTGCTCAAGCTGGCCCATGAGAGAGGAGTTGAGGGCATCGCCAGGTTAATTGGCCATCGTCGCATCACCAGCATCAATGAGATGCGCTCAGGCCTGAAGTTTACGAAGCCTTACCCCTTCCGAGGTTTTCCAAGCGGCGCGTCATCTCTTTCGCAGTCCTTCTCCCCGTCTCAACCCCACAGCGCCGTTTCTCGATCATTCAGCGAGCTTCATGGCCTAAGACTTGCCGATAAGGAGTCAGGGAAGCGCAAGTCGGTTGATGTCGGCCGGAAAAATGCTAAACAGTCAAGGTCCAACAGTCAAAGGTCAAGTCAAGGGCTGAATGAGGTCACATATGATGTCGAGGTAGCCCAGGGGACGAGTCTGCTTGCTCCTAACAATGGACCCTACGATAATCGAGTCTTCCGATGTCTAGTGATATCCCCAGCTGGCCGGGCGATCCACAAGTACGAAAAGAAATCGGAGCTCCTGGGGGCGCTCCGTGACGCCATCAAGGCACACAGGTCCCTGTATCTCAAAGGCAACATCCTTCACCGGGACATTTCCGAGAACAACATCATTATAACCGACCCCGAAAGGACCGGCCACATGGGAATGTTGATCGACCTGGACCTTGCCAAGGAGCTCGGCAGCGGGCGCAGCGGGGCGCGCTGTCGCACTGGCACGATGGAGTTCATGGCTATCGAGGTGCTGCTTGGGATCTCGCACACCTATCGCCATGATCTCGAGTCGTTCTTTTATGTTCTTATTTGGCAATGCGCTCGTCGAGGCTGGGAATTTTTGAAGAAGCCAATGGACTATTCTAATAGCAAGCTACGTGCTTGGTATACAGGCGACTACGATGACATTGCGCGAATAAAGGCAGGTGATATGAGCAAAGGAGAAGATGTTGGATTTGGATTTATCTTGAGGGAGTTCCCGCCAGAGTTTGACTGTGTGAAGCCGCTTTGCAGGGAGTTGCGGGGGATATTGTTTCCTATTCTCAATGGTGAACTCTTCAAGGGGACACCAAAGGATCCAGATATTCTTTATGGGCCAATACTCCGAGCATTTGACAAGGCTATTGATGATATCAATGCTATGGAAGGATAGGGTGGGGTATCTTCTATGACGTTTCGGTACGTCCTTTTGACGAATAACGGACTCATGAGACGGCAATGGTAATCACTGTGGGTGACAGGCTCAGAAACGGAGCGAAAATGGCTCTACAGCGGGTCAGCTTGTCTCACGAAGAGAGCATGCAAGTGGGCATTGATTGTGTAACGATAGGTGTGATCTGTTGTATTTTGTTGTGTCTGTCCCTCTTGCACTTTACTCCCGTTTTGCCGATATGGACAACGCGGTTCCCGTCGCACCCATCCTTCCCTGTCAATTTCGCCTTCCCCAGCCTCTTTGCACGTCTCTTTTCATTCAGCCGTGCAGGATACAGTATATCTCGCTGATGCTACAGGCTAGAGCAACAAGGCAATATGAGGTGCATCAAGTGGCCAGAATCCGGCCTCATCGTCTTGCACCTCTCCCACGCCCCCTCCATTGCAAACTTTCCCCCTACACCCCCTTCTCCCCGGCGTTAAATATCCCAGCCAACGACACACGGAGCGGGTAGCTACGCCGGCTCTAGCCCGAGTCGAGACCGCCCCTCAGACCGCCCTCTGGTCATACCGGCTTCCCCGGCACGACCCTGGGGCCGACCTTCCCTTCCTACGAATCCTCTCCGAGATGCGACCGACCATGCCTTGCAGATTGGAGACGCAATGTGACCATCACGTCGTGCAACCACCTGTTCACCAACTTGACCCGCTCCTTGAAGCTGTTAATCCCGACGTGAGCATCCTGCCCCTTGCCACGCAGGCAGCCTCCCTGCAAGCCTCGCCACTTTCCGTTACTTCAATATGTATTGCCCTGCTTCGGACTAAGCTGAGGGAGTAGAGATCAACGCGTGAACCTGCCTCAGGTCCACCCCCTGACCCTCACTACGCGGGATCCTGTGGGCTAGTCTGACCTAAGACCACCTAATCACTTTGGAAGTCTGTCACTACTCTTGCTTGGTAGTTGGCTTGTTGATGACGTTAGAGAGGGGATGAGTCGGATGACCGGCGCATAGATGCAGAATCTGACGGTGTTCCAGCCAAGGATGAGCATTATCTGATGGAAGGGTGGCCAAAGAGTAAGGCCAATTGCTAGGCATTCTTGTCACGGCACCAACCTGGGTTCCGTCACGTGCATCCCTGTACTTAGTCTAGACTCTGTTCCACCTCCGTAGTTTGCCCTCCTCACAGCACAACATAGATCTTCCCTGGCATCCTAGGTCTGCCCCGTGATAGTTTGTGCTGTCTACTCGGCTGCGCCGCCATCCCGATTGTACACCTAACCAGAGTTTTCCCATTCGACACCCCAAGTCCCACGCAACGAGATCACCACGCCGCGAGCGGCCCAGCCCTACCCTCGATCACTGGAATTTTTCCCCGCCCTGCCAAGACCATGATGAATCCCCAGAACCAGGCGGGCGCAACCCTCGCCGACGCTATTCATGATACCTTCCCAAACATCGCAGCTGCCCTTCACCGGGTCCAAGCTTGTGACTGCTCCAGCCTCGCCTCTATGCTCCAAGACCCAACAGACGACATGTACAAGAACCAGGTCGAAGCTCTCTGCCGCGCGGCCGAGAGCGCAATGGACCACTTCATCAACCAAAACGCCAATCTAGAGAGACGAATCGCGGAATTAGAAACACACCTCGCCCAAGCCCAAGGAACACCCCGGACCCAAGACTCCCTTGTCACCCTCGCCGATGAACTAAGAACTCTGCTGAGCGCCAGACCAACAGAATTGCGCCCTGAGTCACGCCCCCGTCGAATGATGCCAAACCCCAACCCATTTGAAGGCGATGAGAAGGATGTTAAGAAACGCCAACAGCAATATGTCAACTGGCGCTCTCAAGTGCTCCGAACTTTTGCTGTGGATAAGAGTTTCTTTGTCACCGATTTTATCAGAATCCAACACATCGCTGGCCTGCTTGGAGGATCGGCCTCGAAGCTCTACCGCAAGAAATTCGATTTCATTATTGAACATGAGGAAAACCAAGCCATATGGCCATGGCAAACCCATACCGACTGCCTGGCGGAGATGAACAAACAGTATGAAACGCTTGATCTGACACTTTCGGCTTCACAAGCCTTTGATAACCTTTGGATGGGCAAGAAACCCTTCCAAAACTTCATCGCTGACTTTGCCGCCCTGGCCGAGGAGTGTGGAAAGACTGAGACCCAGAAAGTTGAGTCCTTGCAGCTCAAGGTCTCTCAGGAACTCGCCAACGAAATGACGCACCAGCTTGTCCGCCCTGCTAGAGACAACTTCTCTGAGTGGTGTAAAATGTACCAGACGATCTACGATAACCTGTTGGCCAAGGACCACCAGGACAAACTGCGCTCAGGACGTCTAGGTAGTCGACCCTACCAAGGCCAAACACACCAGCAATTCCAACAACGCCAACAGGCTGACGCTGGCGACCCGATGGTTTTGGACGCTACGCGCCAAGCTAGACCTACGAGGAGGACTGCTTTACTAATAACCTCTGTTTGTACTGCAAAAGCCCGGCCACTTTAAAAGCGATTGTGATGAAAAGAAGCAGGCCGACGCAAAACGCAACCAGGCCTTTGGAACATATAAACCTAGCTATGGGTACAGTAGAGGAATGGGACGCGGCCAACCTGGACAAAACCACCGCCCCTACAATTACCAAGCCAGCCAACAACACAACCCACCCGTTTCCCAGCCCCAATTCCTGCGTATCCCCAGCCTTTCCAAGACTGCGATCCTCGAACAAGGCTATATTATAGCAGACGAGGAAACAAGGACTACACCAACCCCCACTCCCTCTGTCAACACCCCAGCCTCACTTGAGCACCGGGGAAAAGAATAACCTCCGCCCAGAGCCGCGGACGGAGGTCAACGAAGAACCAAGGATGCCGGAATGGATACGTCGCTGTCTCTCGAGCCACAAACCTATCAGACTTAGGTCAATAGACAGCAAATCTCTACTCATTCAAGCTACCTTAGTCCCGCGCATACCGACCCCATTGAGGTGACGAGCCTTATTGATAGCGGATGCTCTGCACGGGCATTTGCGGACCGTAGCTTTGTCAAGACCCGGAATATCGTAACCCAACCAACGCCAACAAAACGAGCCCTCCTCCTCGCCGACGGGAAACCGGCTGGCTCAATATCGGAATACTTCATTGCACCAATATTGATAGGATTGCACAATGAGCTCTGCCTATTCTTTGTTACAGACCTCTCCCCGGACACCCCTATCATCCTTGGACTCCCCTGGCTGCAACGCCACAACCCAAGCATCGACTGGTCCAGTATGTCCCTGACATTCACATCCCCATACTGTCACAACTTTTGTTACGTTCGACCTACCAACCCCTGGCAAACCAGTCCGACGAGCCTTGTCCTACCAGCCTCCAATTGTCGAAGATTCAGAGGACGACCATAGCAACTGCTCCAGCACTCTCACACATCAGTCCTCAACGGTCGACGACTCAGAGGACGATACTAGCAACTGCTCAAACACTAGCGAAGATGCCCCGTCATGACATTTGAAGCAACGCCAATATCTAGCAAGCCAGCGCGACGAGTCTCATTCTATCAGCCTCCAACAGTTGAAGACTTAGAGAATGATAGTAACGACTGTTCCAACGCTGGCGAAGATGCTCCGGTTATGACATTTAAAGCAACGCTGACCCCAGGCGCAAATCACTACCGTACCCGCAACCCGAAGAATCACCAAGGCCCCGAGTGCCGAGCCCAGATGATCCCCAATCAGCCGAGAACTAAACCAGCCCCGACTCGTATGACTGCTGGCAGCCGTCATACAAAAAGCCACCACCAAGACCTCCGCTACCTCCACTCAGCGTGCCACTTCCAAACCCATCTCGCGACACCGCCCTAGAACCATCAGACCGACCAGACCTATCGAACATACGGCTTACAAACGCTACAAACTTCGTCCAATTCTGCCGCGACCCAACCGTTGAGGCGATGAAAATGACATGGGATGAGCTTGATCGACTGGATAGTAGTCGCCAGCAGATGAAATACCGCCTACCTGACCTCCCAGAGGAATATTATAAAATGGTAGTCCTTGGTATAAGCAGCAAAAACATGGACTTCAGCTGGAAGGAAGCAAGACAGCTCTTTCCTAATGAATTGCACGACTTTGTTGACGAATGCTACTCACCAGCCCGCCTAGCCAAGATCACAGATGCCGATATCGAAAAGTTCATGAAAGGCAAGCCGGAGCGAACAGCGGATGACGTCTTGAAGAAGCTCCCGATATGGCTCCGCGACCTCTACGATGTGTTCCTACCTAAGCTCGCAGACAAACTTCCCCCGCAGCGCTCATGGGACCATAAGATAGAGCTTCTGACTGGAAAAGAACCTCCGTACCAAAGACACGCCCAATGAACCCACAGGAACTCAAAGTCATACGGAAATGGCTGGATGATAACCTGTCTAAAGGGTTCATACGGGAGTCCGAGCCCGCTGTGCAGCACCACTACTCCTTGCCGCGAAGCCAGGAGGTGGTGTCCGGATCTGCCAGGACTACCGCGGTCTTAACAACATCACCATAAAGAACCGCTACCCACTGCCTTTGATCCGTGAGACTCTAGATGCCCTATGCAACGCCAAAGTCTATACGAAACTAGACATTATCGCCGCATTTAACAAAATCCGCATCGCCGAGGAGATATATGGAAAACAGCCTTTATCACACGGTTTGGCTTGTTTGAAACATTGGTTATGCCGTTCGGCCTCTGCAACGCCCCAGCAACCTTCCAGAACTACATCAACCATACCTTATTCGACCTTCTGGATAAGTTCTGCACCGCCTACCTTGACGATATCTTGATATATTCAACAGATAAGAAGCAACATAGGGAACACGTCCGCGAGGTAGTCACACGACTTCGCGATGCAGGCCTCCAGATTGATATCGACAAATGCGAATTCGAAACAACTAGGACGAAATACCTTGGGCTGATCGTTACGCCTGGAGGTGTCGAGATGGACCCCGACAAGGTCTCTACAATCCTCAACTGGAAGCCACCAACAGCACTCCGCGACTTACAAAGATTCCTCGGCTTTGCAAACTTTTATCGCCGCTTTATCCGTGACTTCTCCAAGATCACCCGGCCATTAAATGACCTCCTGAAGAAGAGCACAATCTGGTCCTGGGAGGTAGAACACCAAACCGCCTTTGACCGACTGAAAGCCGCATTCTCCGTAGCACCGGTTCTAGCCTTATATGACTATAATAGGAAAACTGTACTTGAAACAGACGCCTCGGACTGGGCGTCTGGAGAGTCTTGTCCCAGTATGATGATGAAGGCGTACTGCGACCTGTAGCCTACTTCTCGTCAAAACACTCGGCCCAGGAATGCAACTACGAGATCTACGACAAGGAACTACTGGCGATCATTAAGGCTCTGGAAGAATGGAGGCCTGAGCTTCAAGGGACCCAAGAACCCTTCGAAGTCATCACGGACCATAAGAACCTTGAATATTTCACAACAACCAAGGCTCTAAACCAACGACAAGTCCGCTGGTCCGAGTTCCTGTCAGGCTTCAACTTCCGTATTGTTTATCGACCAGGCACCAAAGCCGTCCGTCCAGATGCGCTAAGTCGAAAGCCAGAAGACCAACCCAAGCGCGCAGACACAAACGACGACCGCATTAAGAACCGCCAACGGACCATTCTGCCAGAACACATCTTTGACCCAGAGGCCCTGGCTGAACTGACTCGAGAAGTCAATGGGAATTCGACCTCGCTGCCGCCCCGATAGACGTTATCATGCCAGCCATGGACAAACCCATCGATGAACTGGTCGATAGAGCCTACGAAAATTCAGAGATGGCCCAAGACATGCTGACGGCCCTGAGAGACGCATCAACCCACCGCCGCTGGCCCAAGAAATGGCGAAAGGAACTTCGCGTAGCAATGGCAGACTGCTCTGTCATTGGGAATCGCATATACTACCGCGAGAAGCTCTTCATACCACCCAACGATCAGGAACTAAAGACCCAGGTTATTTACCGTACGCACTCCACAGGCCCTGCAGGACACCCCGGGCGGATAAAGACAATCGATTTGGTTAGCCGAACTTACTGGTGGCCACGCATAACCCGAGACATCGAGGAATATGTTAAAGCCTGCGAGCTGTGTGATCGGGTCAAAGCCTCAGGTCGGCACCCCAGGATTCCTCCAACCACTGCAAGTGCCATTCCAAGCTTGGTCAGATATATCCATTGACTACATCACGCCCCTGCCAGAATGCGAGCGCCATGGCAAAACATACCAGCATGTCCTCGTTGTTGTGTGCCGATTGACAAAGATGCGCCATTTCATCCCAGTTGTAGGCCTAACAGCCGAAGAACTAGCCTCTGTCTTTATCAGCCGAGTCTATTGCCTCCATGGCACACCCGACAATGTCATCTCCGACCGCGGTTCCCAATTCATCTCCGAGTTCTGGCGCCAAGTCTCCGACCGCCTAGGAGTTCGACTCCGCCATTCTTCCGCCTTCCACCCAGAGACAGACGGACAAACGGAACGGATCAACGCAGGCATCGAACAATATCTGAGAGCATTCATGAACTTCCACCAAGACGACTGGGTCGACTGGCTCCCTCTTGCCGAGTTCGCCACGAACAACGTTACATCTGAGACCACGGGAGTATCACCATTCTTCGCTAACTATGGGTTTCACCCCAAACTCGGCACTGAACCAACCAAGCCACTGCCGCCAAACCAGTCCGCAGCCCAACGACGAGAGTTCCTCAAAGCAAACAACATCGCCGACCGCTTTGAGCGTATTATCACTCAGCTGAAAGCCCTTGCAACCCAAGCCGCCAGACGCTACGAGGAGAACGCCAACCTCAATCGAGAAGATGCTCCTCAGTACGCCGAAGGTCAAGAAGTCTACGTAAGCACGAAGAATATGAAGACAAACCGGCCGATGAAGAAAGGAGACGACAAGTGGGCAGGACCATTCCCAATTCTGAAAGTCTACCCTCGTTCATGCTTGCTTAAACTCCCGAGGGAATGAAGATCTTTCCGTGTTCCACAACTCGCTCCTACGACCGAAACCAGAAGCAAATGGTCTACCCGGCCAAGACGTTATCAACGAGGCCGAGTCAAAAAACATCCGAGGACGAGTCCTAGAACGCGATGACGAGACAGGAGAACTAGTCGAAAATGGCTATTTGACGGGCTACTAAATAGCCGCAGAGACGTTGATGGCCTACATTACCTAGTCAAGTGGAAACACTATGACCCTACCTGGCAACCGGCTAGAGACCTCAAAGGACATAACCAAGTACTCCTCGACTTTCATAGAGTTCACCCAAACAAGCCAGGCCCCCCGGTCTGGGCAAGGAAGTAAAGGGCACAACTATATACTTTGTGCCCAGGCCGCTCTTAGTCGTTTAGGCTGTTCGAGGACGAACAGCCGTTTGGGAAGGGGGTACTGTCACGGCACCAACCTGGGTTCCGTCACGTGCATCCCTGTACTTAGTCTAGACTCTGTTCCACCTCCGTAGTTTGCCCTCCTCACAGCACAACATAGATCTTCCCTGGCATCCTAGGTCTGCCCCGTGATAATTCTCTCTTAGGGGCGGCTCGCAGGCATCAGCCAAGCACTAGTAGATCACAGTTCCAACAAAGGAGGAAGGCGCATGAGTAAACCGGGCAGATAGATGCCACTAGACGGCTAGAGTCGCATTGCTGTGACTCACGAGATGATTTGCTGGAGCTCACATCAGGGGCTACAATGAAGCTCGACAGGGAATCGGGAAGTCTGTTCTACTCTTATATGACGGTGTTGGTGAAATGTTGTGTCAATACACATCGGAATAAGGGGGTCACCACAGCTAGATTCAAGATGCATGTTCTATCTCTAAAGGAGCAGTCTGAAGGGGCTATTTATACAGGAGGCCTTAGGGAGTTCTGGAGACCTCCTGAGTATGGGGCTCTACCCATGCATACTTGGCTGTGCCCACGCATAAAGGGGTAGCTTTCCTTACTCAGGAAGTCCTGATGCGTTACTGCTACATAGGCCAGGAATCCCTTTTCCAGGTCCTCCCTAACGGGGCTGCCCTGGTCCACAGACAGAAGGATATCAAAAAGCTTTAGTGAATCGGTAAGGGCATGGCCAACAGTGCCAATCTTCAATATCTATTTAAAACAACCAATGGAATCGGCGGTACGCCCCTGCGAGTCCTCGTCAACGCGTGTCAGCAGGTGCTCCCTAGGGAATCATAATGCGGTACCACTGCGTTTGGATAAGTCGGCACAGAATAATGCCAGTGCATTACCGTACGGCCGCCAGTAGACGTAGGCTGTGTTGTTACCATGGCTTGGCCGGGACTGTCGTGCATCGACGGGGACGGTTGCCCGCCATAGACGCGGCCTTGTCGCGTGGTGCTCGCGCGACTCAATGGGATTGTCGGTGGATACGGAGAATGAACAGCCGATGCCATGACTGCGGTAGCCACGCCCATGTGATGTTGATAGCCGTACGAGGACGTCACGAGCTGCGACGGCTCCCAGACGGACGAACTTGTCATCGACCCCTCGGTGGTGGAGGGGTTCCGAATCGACTGTCCCGACAAATATAGGGAGAAGTCTTCATCTAGACTGGCCAGGTGTCGCGGCATCAGGAGCCGTTGCAGCGACCGGACAGCGGCACTAGGGTCGTCGGCGTGAAAGGGTTGGCCTTGGTTGGAATCAAGTGGCAAGGTGCCCGACTGCAAGAAACGGGCTATTTGGTCGTCGCTAATGCCATGCCTGTTGAGGAGCTCCTGGAGCTGCTTGTTCTTATCGCACGAAGGATGAGCAAGTGGGCATAAAGATCAGGGACTGGAAGACTCTTGATTCTGCTATCTAAGGTGGGAAAGAGGCGAGATCTTTATAGACTGCCTGGATATGAGAATGGAAGGGAATGGTAGTGAATGGAAGCATCTGATCGGATCATCTGGAAGCCACTGATGCGTTGATGATGCCTCCTAGAAGTTTCTGTGGGGAAATGTGGAAACGGACTGTGCGAATAGGGGGTCAGACTGTTGGAGGCTGATATCCTATGTGTGACAGCCTACATCACTTGTGCCTGTATACGTACAGGCACCGGCGCCGTCACGGTGGCAAGAACCGCCTCCCTCGACACAGGCACATCACGACGGCTTCATGTGGGCACAGCCGCCGGCACAGTCTCACGGGACGGTAAGGGAGCATTTCCAGCAGCCAGGGGATCAGACGGACACGGCACCATGCAATTCCAGCGAGCGGGCCGTCCCCAAATTCGTTCCCTATGTGCCTCGCCCTCCGCCGCGTCGGACGGATCCTTCCTCACAGTCACAGTCACAGTCACAGAGGTAGGCAAGGCGGCCAAAAATGCACCTTCCACTGCTGTGTGCATATTGCATACACATCGGAATCGGTCGGGCCGGGCTTAGTGATAGCTTCAATTGAACGACCAAGGGACGCATCTTCTGGCGTTGGTGATCTTTGCAATATTGAATGCATCCTCCGTACATACCGGTAGTCGAGTAATAGGGCGGGCGCGACGAGGCGGCCACGGCGTTGGGAACGCGCGCGCCAAATTGTGGTGCGCGCCTACTCTTCCAAATGGGGTTTAAGTCTCCGTGCATGTTTCGAAATCGTCCGTGCATGTTTCGTTACTCAGTTCCTTGAGTCTCTGCATTCCATCAATTATAGCCTGATCAAGCCTGTTGCCGATGAAATCCTGGGGTCGTATGGGACTGAGAAGCTTGATACCTTGAAGCGTTGTACACCTGGATAGTTGTACATAGAGACTGGTAAAATCGCATTTGGAAGGCTCACCGTTTATTACGCGATTTCCTCGCAGCTCCAAGAGTACTTAATGCGAAATTGGTAACGTCTGTTCATCTGTAAACGCCTGGTAGAACGACTTGGAAGCCCCCACCTGGAGCGCAAGTGGGACCTCTTTGCACCAGGCTTTTGTTGCAAAGGGCGCCGGGAACTTTGCAGCTAGAGTCGTCCCCTTGTTCGATCGTCCGGGCGATCAGCTCTCGAGACAGCGTGCCACTTCGCCAGGTGTGGGCCGAGATGAAGACGGATATATCCCTTTGAGTGCCCGAAGACCTCCCCCAAGTCACTGGCTCCGCAGTGCGTAGCTACAGATGACTAACCTGAGACGCCTAGAAAAGGCCGGGTATACTACCACTTACTAGGTAGAGATAAGTAACTAGTGAAGCTGACCGGTTCCGATTCAGAGGTGTTATTTGGGAGCGGTCAAGTAGCTTCGTGTTGAACAGGACAAGGTCTTGCTGTGTCTGCATCCCGGCACGCACCCTACCCAGAAGCGCGCCGAGCTGAGGATCGTCTCGTGTACGGACTTGCTCTTCCAGAATGACCATCCGGCTACCCCACCCGGGTAGGACCCACAGAGGGGCGGGTGGCGTGGGCATTATGTACAACAGTATGCATGTACAACAGTATGCACACATTTGGATTGTGGCTGGACTTGGATTGTGGCTGGAGGGGCACAGCTGTGGCGAAACTCGAACGGGGCGCTATGCGGTCCGTGCGTGGGGGGCGGAAGGAAGAGCCTTTCGTTCCTCAAGGCAAAGGTGGCGTAACGCAAACAGGAGACCGGCCCCTGCGGGGCCGCCAATGCCTTGAGGAACGAAAGTGGCGTTGGCGTGGCGCAGGCGCACGGAGCGGCATGTGGTCCGTGCTAAGGTAGGGCGCGGAAGGAGGCGGAAGAAAGATCCTTTCGTCACGTCGTTCCTCGTTCCTCAAGGCACAGGAGACCGGCCCCTTGCAGGGTCCGCCAATGCCTTGAGGAACGGGACTGAAGCATTCGGCTTGGTTTGACACTGACAAGTCTGTTGAAAGGAAAGATGAGGCTTGCTCCCGATAGTGTGGCTGCTTGGACGCCGTTTTACCCCGCCACAACACGATAGGCTTAGGGTCGGGGTAAGGACGTAATGGAGCCTTTTCAGGAGCCATCATCTTGAAGGTCGAAGGAGTCCGAACCGTTGCGAATTATGCAGTGAAGGGTAACAATTTGTCAAGAATCGACTCAATGCCTCCGATTGATTACTCAAAGTGGGACAACATCGACACCGATTCGGAGCCAGAGACATCGCCCCAGCAAGCGCCAGCGGCAAAACCCACCCCGCCGGCCACGCATGCCTCGCCGCCGATGGGTACGCCAGGTTTGAGGGAAACGCACAGCAAGTCGGGGCATGTCGAAGCTGTCATTGTCCGATGCGAGGCCGAGAAACGCAAGTTTCCCCTTTGGTCTGCCACTACAATCCCTAGGGCTGATATTTGAAGATTTTGAAGTCGAATCGGCCTCGGGACCCTTGAATTGAATGAAGCGGAATCGGGTAAGGTCTTCAAATTCGACGAATCGAAAATCAGGAGTCTTTATTCAATTCATTCATCAAAATCTTGAATGAATGGCGATATGGTCGAAATATACGGTGAAAAAAAAGGATCACGCTTCGCAGCTGCCAGCCAAGGGGGCATGCAGGGGAGGAAAAGGCTAATGCCCAAAGCCACCCACCAAGGGCCTCCCTTTTCTTTCGGAGCAGACACACACGTACACATCAAGAAACTATCGGGAAGAAAGACAGACATCAGATATGTGTCAATTGCAGCGCACCTGTAGGAGCGCGTTCCACTTTGCCTGCATGGCGCAATGGTCTTCGCAACAGAAACGAGCTGCTTTGACCCCCATCATACCAATAGATTCCACAATGCACTTTCCCCATTAGGCACGCCACAGAACCACCGTTCTGACAGGAGCAGGGGTTCGCCCCGCGCGGACATGGTAACTTCGAAATCGGCCGCCCTTGCGATGACATTCTGCGTATTTAAAATTATGTTGTGCGTGTTGCAGTTGGATTCCGTCGTCGACACTCCACTGGCAAAATCCCAGTGGGTTGGAAGTGGGGTAGTTGGCGTCCATATATGTTGGTATAACGACCCTAACAGTGAGTGCCTGATACGCCCGCCGTTTCAGCAATCTTGCCACCCTATACGGAGTATCAAAAACACCATGAAGCTCGTGAACAACTCTCCCCTGTAAAAATTCTGTCCCCTGGAGGGCTGTTAGCGGCTTGCTAGCTGGGGCCAGATTTGCAGGCGACCCGACCGCGCTTCAGCTGCGGGGT